AGTGCTGTATCTTGTGTTTGTCGCAACGCGCTATTATCCAAGTCATCTTGAAAACATTCTTCTTCCAAATGTTGGCTACATATTACGGGTTTTTTCTCTGGCCAGAAGTTTGATGGCAAATCCTCCCTCTTCAAGTTGGCAATCCAACGACGAACCCGTCCGTGGAGGATCATGATTTAGAAAGGTGAAATAACTCTTTTTTTTTACTTTTACCCAATGTATTCCAACATCCAGCTGCCATGCACGTGGGCATTGTCAGTTTCACTATAGCTCTGGTGAATTTCAATGGTGAAGTCCTCTTGAAATCTTCAATAATTGTTGTTGATTGCAGATGTGTCTAGTAGTTCCCATTGATTTTGCTTATAAAGTGGGTAGAATGGCGCTAGGCTTACCGCACCGTGACGTCACTGCTGGAAGATGGCAGGAGGGAGGTGTTACTATATTTGGGCAAAAATGGCCGCTCCCAGACTCAGTGATCACGAAGAAAATTGTTTTTATTTTTTTACTGATTAACCCTTTTTAGTAAGGTTAGTTTTAAATTAGGTATAGATAATGATCCATTAATAATTATTCCTTGCTGACTTCTCCTTTAAAAAGAACATGGTTTCCCTTTAAAAACCCTCCAATTATTGCTAGTTTTTGCATAAACCATTTCCTGTTTGATCCCAGTTTGCTTCTAATGGCCATGAAAGACTCATCAGTTAAAGAGCTGCTCCGTTCTGCCCTGGAGGCTTTAAATGAATCGGATGCTGCATCGATCAAATGAGGACTAATTGCTGCGCCTCTAATCAGTGGTTGCGTCGGTGTTTTTGAATTGATTCAACCCGATTCAGGAACCCCCCCCTTCCTCTTCTGTGATTGATCCGGCTTGACCCCCCCACCCCCCTGCACTCTCCCCATTGACCCAGGCTGCTGGATAATTAGAGCCTATAACGCCTGCAATGTGTGTGGGTTGGACAGAAATAGTACCTGATCCCGACAGGAAGCACAGAGGGATAATGGCATTACCCCGACGACGGCCAATCAGGTGGAGAGGTGAGCTCTAAGCCAATCAGAGATCAGGGAATGAGTAGATCAGGAACTGGAGCGAAAAGTCCCTGGACTGTGACTGACAGGCAGGCGACTCGCCTTCTTTCATTCAGAGAACAGCCTGAAGAAGTCGACCATGTCCCCCCGCCTGCCTGGTAAGGCTCTTCCCTTTACTTCTCCGCCTCAGATCGTTTTTATCTGAACCACTGTCCTTATTTTACTGCTTGTTAAACAGTTTAAAGTTGGTGTCGATGGGATTGCGCAGGTTAACTTCTCACACATGTTTGTAGATTATGGCTGCTGTTGATCTTAATGAGACCAAAGCAACTAAATCCAGGCCAACTTGAAGGATTTTATTTGGTCAGCCTTAAAACTTCCAGTCATGCAGCTTAGCTGCTGTTGAGTTGTTTTAATTTTCTTTTAGGTTTATATGTAAAAGATCTAAAAACAGATTTTATTTCTTTCCTTCGATTTAAATAACCCTTCATCATTAGCGATCTTGTTGAAGTGTTGGTTTTCTAAGATGGGTGTGATTATATTTCACCACAGAGAGAAACAGGAGTTTTTTAAAGGGAGAAACCAGGCGCTGACCCATAATGACATCAGCTCTGTGAGCCGAGCCGGACCCACTGCAGGTTTAGATCCTCATATTGAATTAAGTGGCAGCAAAACATGTTGTTGTTTTAGCTGTCAGCAAACAGCCGCCCACTCCTCACACACGCAGGGACACACAGGGATGGTGAAGCCGCCGCCGCAGGGCTTCAGGCTGGTGGACAGAAAGCTGCAGAGGTCAGATTTCCTTTTGGTTTTCTTCTAATCTTGTTTTAAGAAACTATTAGATATTCCAGGAGTCTGTCCTGCCGTTCATTCAGTTAGAGGAGGAGATGGACTTCAGCTGAAGTGAAGGAGGAGAGGATCTGCTTATGGAGCTCAAAGCAAAGCATCACTTTTGGATCATTTATCAGAACTGAAGATGCTCTAATAAATGAGCATATCAGTGTTTGGACGACCGGAGAAGCAGTAACTGTAGGATGACCGTTTCCAGCAGTCATGAACTTTTCATGCTAACATCTAGGGATGTAGGGAAAGAAAATCATTTGGTGATATATTGTGATTTTCGGCTGTCTGATATGATACTGGTCTTTCAGTTCCTGATATTGGGAAATAAAGTTTTTTTTTAGCTAAAACAATGAGGGAGAATGGGCAGATAGAGCTGTGGAGCTCTTTGCTGTGCGGCGCAGCACCATATCTGTAGTTGAGGCGGTCACTGTGGAAGATGTGGACTGACTCAAACCCCAAACAACATGGATACCAAAATAACTAAATGATCATCTATTGCACATGTACAGCACTTGTTTTTTATCTATACATTTAATTTGATAGCTGGAAAAATATCGCAAGTGATATTGCAATATTATGAAAATATCGTATTGTGACCCAAGTTTCGTGACCCGTATGGCAACGCCCATGCCAATAGTCCCCCCTAGTAACATCTCATTTAGCCAGTTGGACAAAGTCTGAGGGCAGCAGAGTCTCTGAGAGGCTAAAAGACGTTAGCCAAAATGCTGAAGGTCAAAGCCTGAAGGAGGAACAGAAAAGAGCGAGAAGACAGAAGCAAAGGAGCAGCTATGGAAATAAAACGCTCTCACCTTCCAGCGAAGCGTTTTCGTTTTCGTCGCCTGAAGGAATCGTGTAGATCCAGATGGGTGTTGGATTTATCCCAGAAATAGTTTTAGACTTTTGTTACACACAACCCTGCGCCAGAAGGTAATCTGGATTTTGATGACCGATTTATCTAGTAACAGCCTCCGGATTGAAATATTAGCCCGATAATTGATCTCCCGACAACAGTAACGATTCAGAGTTTTCAATGTTTGGACCTGAGTGGATGTTGAAGGAACCAGAACTTCAACATGAAATTAACACAAGCAGTAGGAGGAGGAAACTTGGAAGGTTAAATTTACTGGTAAGTTTGGTTTCTTTGGGTGATTATTTAGCCTTAAGCAGCCCCAAATACAATAATAACCATGAGGTGGGGTTCAATATCTATAAACCAGGATGGTTTGGGGGAATGAATAGCAGAAGAAAGTAAAGAAAGCCAGTGGGTTTAATCTGAATACACAAAGAGTTTTTTTGGCTATTGGTAAATAGTTTTAATAAATATTTAATTCCCTGATGGGTTTTCTCTAGTATTTCTATCACATACACTTAAAGTCGTAGGTAAATCATATTTAAATCTGTATTTTTTTCGTTATCTTCTGCAGGCCAGTTAGTTATACGTCAGCCTGAACACCTAAATTCAGCCAATCATATATCAGCGTTCATCTGTCAATCAAATTTTTTCAGTCATAGCATCTTGATTCATATGTCGCAGCTAATATACGCAACGGTTAAAATAGGAATCATTTCCTTTCCCATTGAGTTCCGTCCCAGTGTTCACGGGGATGGACGTCTGTGTCTTCAGCAGGCGTAGAGCTAACAGAACTGGCAGCGTTGCGAGGCAAGGGCTCAAACATGTACGGCTGGAAGCCTTCTACACCAAACCAAGCTTCTGCCGCCCTGGCGTCCTCTTCCACAACATCTTCATCCCCGCTTTCCTCCTCTAAATAAAAAATGGATGACAGAGGAAACTCATTCATGACCTCCGATACTAAACTCTCCTCCTCTTGCATGTTTCCTCTGTCCATAGCGTTTCTTGACAGTGTCGTTTCTAAGTCACCAATTTAGTGCTACTTGGTCCCAATGGAATTTCCCATTGGGAACCTACTAGCACTAAGTTGCTAACTGGTTAGCAAGATGCTTAGAAGAAACTGACTGCAATCAAACTTGCTTGTAAACCTTCAACTATTTGTATTCTCATAAAGATTTCTCCCTATGTGTGTATTACCAGGACTTTACTACGTTATTCTAGGAGAAATGAGGAAAAAAAACATTTCTTCCAGTTTCTTCAACTTGACGGGAAGAAACTGGTGTCCAGCGGAGGAAACTCAACCCTGCCTAAAGTTAAAATTATTGCTCAATTTATTTCTTTAAACAACCAGTTGTTAGGAGTTTAGCTAAAAAGACGATAATCCATGGAATATTTCATTGTCTTAATTAGTGTTGCTCCGATACCATTATCGGACGGGGCCCCGATACTGCCCTAAAATGGTAATATCAGTATCGGCGAGTACCAACAAATAGAGCACCGATACCATTTAGTGAGCCAAAAGTTTATTCAACTATTGTCACCCACTCCTGTTAGGCAATAAAAAGTTCTACTGGATTCACTTTGTATTAGATTTTTTCCTGCTTCACAAAGGTAGACAGCGGCTTGACAAAACCATGATGGCAATAATTTTACATTATTATGGTATCGGTATCGGCCGATACTGCACAGCCAGGTATCGGGTATCGGTATCGGCCCCAAAAAATGGCATCGGCGCAACACTAGTCTTAATGTCAATAAAGTTTTTTTCATCTACTTTGAAGAAGTGAATAAATGGTGATGAGGCATTTATTGTTGCATATTTAAATAAATGAAGGAAAGACGAGGAAGAAATAATCATAACATAAAGAAAGTCTGTATCTTTGAAGGGAGCAGGGCAAAAAATATGACTGGCAAGAATTTAATCCCAGATCAATTTAAATACTTTACGTCCTGCTTCCTTTAACTTTGCATTTTAATGGTGCTTTTAGAAAAAATTGATAAATCTTTTTCCACATTTCTTCACCCCAGAACGTTTCAATGTATGCAAATGTTGCAGCTGATCAAGGCTGCTGAATGCATGCATGTATCGATCAACACGATATCAGAACAAAACGCTGAAATCGGGTAAAGATGTCGGCCGGCCGATGTATCGTCCTTCTCTACTGAGAACGTTGTAGACTGAGCTGCTGTCTGAATGTGGCAGCAGTCGGACGTCTCTGACCTCCAGTTCCTCTGCAGACCCTCTTCCTGCTCTGACTCTGTGTTTTTCTCCCTGCTCCAGTACCTGGCTGTCGGTGTGAGGAGGCTGAACATCAGTCACCTTCTGTGGTTTCGGGACGGTGTGGCGGCGGCGCTCGGTGTTTCTCCCCAACACGTTCACATCAACAAGCTGAATGTAAGTCGCCCCCCCCCCCCTCTCTCCTCTTTTTAAGCCACTCGTTTGACTGATTTCCTGATGCAAATTTCCAGGCAAGAAACGGCATCGAGCTCTTCGTGTCCTCTGAGAGGCGGGACATCTTTGAGCTCCGCCCTGCTAAGGAGGTTGTCCAATCACTGAACCGCAGCGTTCTGCACCACCATCTGGCCGACTTCGGCATCATAGAGGTCAAACCAGAGGTAAAAAATAAAAATAAAAAAGTACTTTGAACCGTCTTTTGGGGAATGTTTAATCCGAAAATCAGCTGATTTTATAACACAGCAGAACAGGAAGTCCGGCTGATTTCTGGTTACATTTCCTCTCAGTGCTGCAGAAACATCCCAGACTCCTCGCCTTCATCTCCAAAGAAGAACGTCCTGCAGGACGAGCAGAGGGATCACGTATGGAGCAGAGACGGCCTCTACAACGTTATCCTCCTCTTCACCTTCTTCCTCATCATCATCACCTGCTTGATGGTAAACCACAGCGTTGCTCCCAGTCACTGCTGATAGTCGATGTTTATAAGGGAAAGAATCCGACTTTTACTCAGAAAACTCATCAGAGTCTCTAACTATAGGTCATTAAATATCAGCAAAAGTCCTTTTTGATGATCTCTAAATGGAATAAGGTCTCTGAATAAAGACTGACACTCAGATTTATTATTCTAACTATTTAGTGGTCCTATGTTAGTCTATTTTACATGGAAATGAGTGTTTGATTAATGAAAGTCTTAATCATCCTGGAAGCAAAATGGACCCAGACAAAAGTCATAGGTCAGAAGGATACAGGAAAGTCTATGAGAACCGATCCCACATGTTGTCCGACTACCTAAAGAAGAACTGGATCCGTTTCTTTAAAAGCTGTGACCTGAAGAATCTGCCCAACCTCCCAGCAGCCGGTTCTGTCCGGATGAAATGGAGTTACAGCCTTCTGCATCCCAATGAGATTAGGCCACAAAGCGATTTATAAATATAAACCAGAGTCATAGCTGATAACTATGACAATAATAAGGAATAAAATAAAGAAATCTTGAAATAATGTCTGTTTATCTAACATATAAAAATAGGTTTTTGAAAAAAAGTTGATTAAAAAAATTTACTAATAATAATTCGATTGAAAAAAATCCCAATCAGATTGTCTTTCTCATCAAATAATACACCTCAATAAAATACATTCAGTCTTTGTAGCTTCAGAGATCAATTTATAATAAAATCACAATAAATTCTCCATGCATTTACAGTTTTGCCCACATGAGGGCGCTGCTGCTCTCTGAGAAACCTCAGAAACTTTGAGGTTTGGGCTCCTTCCTCTAAAACCCTCAAGACTTCAGATGAACCAATGAAAAATTTAATGGTATAAGTTAAAAAAGTGTTATGCTTTGATGTATAAGCATTTAAATGAAATATCTGTGAAAAGGAGAAAAGATTATGTTGAATTTATGCTTTTGTGTGTTTGATGAATTTACAATAACCTTTTTTTCCCTGGAGGATTTAAGTTTTTTGAAAAAAAAATCTGAGGCCAAACATTAAACTTAGTTTTACCCAAAGAGTGACAATAAAGGAGGATTATTCATTCTCATGTTCTTAAAGGGAAACTTAGCCTTGATAGACTTTTTTATTTTTTATTTTATATTCAGCTTTACTTTAGTTGAATTTAGAGGAAGTAAGACTTTGATTAAAAGAATAAAAACTTTGTGTTTGTATGTTTTTAATATTCTGTTTTATCTAATAAGCTTTTCTTTGTTTGATTAGGCTGAAAAAATATTAAATGGTAAATGTATAATTAAATAATACATTATTTGATTTATATCAAATATTTATAATTGATTATTAATGTCTCAACATGGAGGAAGTTTTAAGGTTTCAAAAATCTTTTATACTTTTTTTTATCTCTGTACACATTTTTTTAAAAGAGCATTTTGTTTTTATTATTTTAAAGTGGTTTCGTAAAAAGCAGGACTTAAAGTCTTATTTTTCTAACACCTAAAGCTTTTGATGCGCTGATTCCATAGAAGAAAGAACCTTTGATTAGTTGTGTGAAGATCAATCGGCCACCGATCAAAATAGGCCGTTTATCATGAAATTGTTTCTGATTGCTGATCGATTTCTTTTTAATCTTGTGCATCTCTAATGCTACATTCAGACCGCAAGCAGCAAGAGCAGCAAAAACATGCGTGCTGCTTTATTTTTGATTATTGTACAAGTTTAGTTCTGATGCGCGGCTGCAGCATTTTTGCTGCGTGGTGGAAAAACTGGGTCTGATGTGCGTTGGATGGAGCTACCCTATCCTTTCTTTGCCTGTAACGATGGCAGCTATATTTGCTGTGATCAGCGAGTAAAAACTACTTTCAATGTTTTGAAGTAAGAAAGTCCACATGAAAACCTCATCTATGCAGTCAGTTCATCCAGATTACCATCCTGCCTTCAAATATTATTTTTCTGTGGGAGCCGCTCAGACCCCCACATACCGGCGGTGCGCTGTCACTAGGAATCCCATTCAACAGCAGCCGGTCGCCTCTTCCAGGTTTGCCTCGGCGGCTGGAAGGCGTTTTTCATGTACGTAATCCAAACTGCAGGCACCAGGATAATAAAAGTGACATTTTTTTTCCAGCAGATTTGTGCATTTTAAGTTAATTTAGGCGTTAATAAACTGTTTCAGTGGAGTGATCACAGTGATCTGTATCATCAGTAATGTGTCTGTCTCCCTGCCAGAGAAGCTTCTCTGATTGGTTGATGTGGCGAATCGAGCAGCAAAAGTTCAATTTTTCCAACTGCAGCAGGATGCGTTTGCAGCGTGTTCTGTGCGGGATGTTTTACTTCGCCTTAATTTGCATCAACCATTGACTTTGCATGTAAACTAGCTGCTCCTGCTGCCTCTGCTGCTTGCAGTCTGAGCGTAGCATTACTGGGCAGCGTGCAGAGGCGCCGTGTGCAGCTGATCTTAGAGATGCACAGCTCTGATACTCTGATTGGATATCTGCTCCGATATTGACCAGTTAGCTGGACTGGATATTGGATGAATGATTCCAATCCAGCTTTCCCATCCCACTGATATCATAAACGGCTTTACAGTTAGTGATGTAGGGACTTCCTTTTTAAGATGATCATGTCATCGTAGAGCAGCTAGTGATGATTTATATCTGTGCTAATTTATCTTTTTTTTTTTTAAATGTTTGTCAGGTATAGTTCCTTTCCAATCCAATCCACTTTATTTATATAGCACGGTTTAAATAAACACAAGGTTTCCAAAGTGCTGCACAAAAAGATAAAATAACTAAAATAAATAAAAGTAATAAAATAAAATAAAATAAAAGCACTGCCCGCACAGGATAAAAATATACATGTGTATACATAAAATCAACATGTGTATACATAAAATCAACATGTGTACATAAAATCAACACTCTACATGGTGTTAAAAGCCAAAGAAAAGAGGTGGGTTTTAAGAAGAGTTTTAAAATGAGACAGAGAGGTGGCCTGTCTAATGTGCAGCGGCAATCCATTCCAGAGTTCTGGAGCTGCAACAGAAAACGCTCGATCCCCTCTGAGCTTAAGCCTTGCTTTAGGCACTGTCAGGAGCAGCTGATCAGCTGACCTGAGAGATCGGCTGGGAGTGTAGGGATGCAGAAGCTCAGTAAAATGAATCCTAAAATGGATGGGCAGCCAGTGGAGTGAAGCTAAAACAGGTGAAATGTGCTCGTACTTGCGTGTGCCAGTTAAAAGACGTGCAGCAGCATTTTGAACAAGTTGAAGACGAGCAATTGAGGACCCAGCAATCCCCACATAAAGTGCATTACAGTAATCCAGCCGAGTGGTCACAAAGGCGTGGATTACTGTCTCAAAGTGCTGTCTCTGAAGGACTGGTTTGATCTTTGCCAGCTGCCTTAGCTGGAAAAAGCTAGATTTCATTACAGCTTTTATCTGGCTGTCAAATTTAAGGTCTGAGTCCACTTTTACCCCGAGGTTTCTTACAATTGGTTTACTGTATTGCGATAGAGAACCGAGATCAACTAGGGAGGGGGTCACAGATGTGCCACCAAAGACCATGACTTCTGTCTTTTCTTCATTAAAATTCAGAAAATTTAAAGACATCCAAGCTTTAAGGTCATGTAAACACCTTAACAGTGGTTCAACAGAGTAGCAATCAGCCTTTTTGAGGGGGACATAAATCTGGCTGTCATCAGCATAACAGTGAAAGGAAATGCCATGTTTCCTGAGAATGGAGCCAAGTGGGAGTAGATAGAGAGAAAATAAAAGAGGGCCAAGCACGGAGCCCTGTGGGACCCCACATGAGAGAGGAGCAGTGGAGGACACAGAGTCATCAAGGCTGACACAGAAAGTCCGATGTGACAGGTAGGACATGAACCATTCCAGTGCTAAGCCCCTGATGCCCACCCACTGCTCCAAACGAGCAATCAGGATTTCATGGTCCACTGTATCAAATGCTGCAGTCAAATCTAAAAGTACAAGGACAACACAGTGTCCAGAGTCAGTAGCTAAAAAGATGTCATTAAAAACTCTTAAAAGCGCTGATTCTGTGCTGTGCAATGTTTTAAAACCAGATTGGAAAATCTCAAGAACATAGTATAGTTCCTTTACTCACATGGCAAGGAATACGGTTAATTCATTCAACGGTAGAATCTGATCGGTATCGGATATCAGCCGATATATATCGGTAGTGGATTGGATTTGAAAAAAATGGCTCTGAGAGTGATGGGATGTTTGCATCTTTTTAAAGGAAAAATAATTCGGACATTAAACATGGAAAAATAAATCAACACAATTTATAATATATGACATTTAGAAACAAACTATTGATGGAATATGATGACATATAAAGGCTCACTGCAGAGAGAAAAAAGAAAAACAGATCAGGCAGCAGGTAAAGCTAATGGCCGACAGTCACCCAGATTACCATGATGGCCAGAAAAAAGAAATGAAAGAAATAATTGAATTGTTTGGGTAGATGAATAACTGCTCTTTTGGAATTTATATATCAAAACTTTTGAGGTCATTTATTTGTGAAAAAAGCTTGTCCTCTTCTTCCCTGTGTTCTGCAGTATTACTCCACTCTGTCAGAACCAAGCGATCAGAGGCAGGAAGAGCGTCTTAGTAACTTTTTGTTTAATTGGAGCCTGTATTTAACTTAAAGTTTTTTCTTTGACTTTATTTAAAACGGGCAACGTTTTGGTCTTTATTTAACTCTATTAATCATTGTTTCACTCTTCTAAATTTATTAAATGCTAGAAATGTATCGACCCATTTATTTTTCCAATCCGATACCGATCGGCCGTATCGGCCGATATCCGATACCGATCCGGTTCAACTATTGAATAAATAAACCATAAATCCTGGATTTAGCTCTGACATAAAAAAATAATACATCTACACAGATATTAATGTTCTTTATATTATTTACTAACAAATAAACAGCAAAAAGAAATAACTTCCATGTAAAGTGCTTTGGATTGGATATCATGTTTAGACATTGGATCCAGGTATCGGATCGGTACGTCTCTACTAAATGTTGTTTTGCTATCAGAAGGATTTTCATTCGTCCTTTTTACTAAATACTTCTGTGGGTTTTTAGTGTTGTGCCAATACTTTTTTGTTAGGCCCCGATACCCGGCTGTGCAGTATCAGCCGATACCATCTGTTATGGCTTTGTCAAGCTGCTGCCTACCTTTGTGAAGCAGGAGAGAGACTAATAATTTTTATTGCCTACCAGGAATGGGTGACAATAGTTGAATAAACGTTTGGATCTCAAAATGGTATCTATGCCCTATTTGTTGGTACTCGCTGATACCGATGCCACCATTTTTATGCCATATCGGGGTCCCTACCGATACTGGTATCGGTGCAACACTAGTTTTTAAGTAGTCTTGTTTAAATCAGGTGATTTTATTAATTTGATTTTGCCAGCTCACAGATCCAGTCGTTTTCGTTCTCTTTCCTTCAGGTTTTGTATCGAATGAAGCAGAAGGTTCCGGTCACTGAGAAGCATCTTAAAGCTCCGCCCCCAGACCACCACGTGAGCCTGAGGATCCCCCCTGAGCCCGCCAAGAGGTCAAAGGGCACCAAGGTGAGAGACCACTGAGCATTTGGTTCCCTCGCTGCTGGATCGTGTTTCCAGAACTTTGACCTCTGATCTCTTCCTCCAGGCTGCGACGTCAGAAAGCATGGTCCAATCTGAGCTCCCGCCAGCTGTAGCCACGCCCACTCACCAGCAGCAGCCAGTGGTCGCCTGCCGCCGCCTCGCTCCTCCTGTCACCCCTCTGCCGAGGTGAAATGACCGGAAACTTCAAAGTGCAACGTTTTTAATAACATGGGATTTTTCCTTATTTTTTTAAAGAATCAGAGATGATCACCAAGCTCTTTCCTGCTCCTTAAGCCCCAATCATCACTCTTCCTCCACCATGTTTATTAGTTAGTTTCTGCTGCCTTATGCTGGTGAAGATTCTCATTCATTGAGGTCATACTCATTCCATCCAGGAAGCTTTTTCAATTCAAAAGACATTTAGAATTTCAAAAGCTTCCTGGATGAGAAGCAAAACGTCTTCAAACTTGGAAACAAAGTAGATTGTTTTTTAACTTTTTTGGAATTTCTGCTGCCTTGTTTCTCTTTTTTTATTTCTATCTCCCAGAAACAATGGCAATCTTTATTTAATTACCAAACTCAGTATGTCATCATGGGCAAATGCGGCGTGCTCACAGGACGCGGCGTACCACAGGGTGGTTGAGGTCATCCTTGTTGTTAAACGGGGAGCTCTAAGGCCGCCCCTTTTACATAATCCTGAATACGAGCCCAGTGGGATCAGCCAGAGGTTCCCTTCATGTCTAAAACATTCGCCTCTCCTTCCCCAAACAGGCCCAACTTCAGCTCACCTCACATGTAGACCAGTATTATCCAATTTAGATGACGCTGAGCTCCAATGATCAATCAGAGACTTTAACACACACTTATTCCCGAAGCTTCTCTGGTTTTACGTCAAACATGGATGAAACCTGTGAGGCAGAAGAACATGATCCATCCTTTAGGTTGGAGACATTAGTTTCCTGTGCAGCTGAACTCTGCCCCTTTACTCAGACACCCCTGAATAAAACTCAGTCTGTATCAAACTGATTCGACTCTAAAAGCAGCCGTTCTGTTTCTGAGCTTAGAAGTTTTCTTTGGTGAACATTGGAGAAGAAGCAGCATCATGAAGGCCAAGAAGTAGAGTCCATTAAGAGGTTCTAGTTCAAATTAATCAGACCTACTAACACACTGACCTGTGTGACCTGATCTACCTAAACTTCTAGACTAAGTATCGGCTAAGAAGGTAGCTCTGGAGGAGCTGCAGAGATCCATAACTCAGCTGGAAGAATCTGCTGACAATCATCCTGATCTAAAATAATAACTGATGTTTGATCAGACAAGCTTTTTTCTTCTAATAAAGTTTTAATGCAAGTTTTACTGAAGAAAACCTTATAATGAAAATAGATTTCCCATCTCACTGCCTTCCTCAACCTCTTAGCCAAAGTGCTCTGTTTAAAAAAGCATTCCCCTCATGATGTCATAAGGGGGAAGAAGCTGTCCAGAGTGGCCCATTGGTCAAGCTAAAGCCTTCGTCTAATGTATTATTCCACGCTCCCAGGCTGTCTTTACGAACTCTGACTGGTTGTCATGGTTGCGGGTTGTGGGGGTGTGGCCTTTGGGAGGACGGGGCGTGGGAAGCCAAAATGGCTCGTCCAGAGGAGAGCTGAATGAGAAGCTTTTTGGTGAGAGGAATTGTTCTGCCTGAATGGCAAAACATGCTCTGGGGCATCATTAAGATTTTTTTTTTTTTGTAATCTATAATTATATGAGACCTTTAAGTATTTGGTAATTTTCTTTAGTTTGCAGAACAGAAGCTGAATATGCGTTTATATGGAATATGCTGTTTTTTCATATGTCAGTAAACTCATTCACTGACTGACGGACAACATTCTGTGCTTTTCTTGTAGCCCCGCCCCCGTGCCTCTAATTAACGCTGACAGCCACTCCCACCCAAGCAGCGCTCCCCCGGTGACGCCCGCTAACGATCTAAAGCCCTGCCCCTCCCCCTTCAGGATGAAACCTGCTGCAGGCCTGCAAGAAAGGTGAGAACACAGGAAGTGTTTACGGCTAATTAGGGAGTGGAAACCGACACGTTTATTCAGATTTAATCCTCCCCCAGATTTCTATTTATCTTCACATGTGACATAATTATTTAACAAAAAATAAGATTTCTAATCGACAGAAGTGGACAAACAAAGTAAAAATATTTCTAAATCCAATTTTCTTTAACATATTTTTCATCCTGAGGGTGAATGAAAACTTAAGGAGAAAAAAAGTGTTCTAAAGAAAAACCAAAAGGTTGATTCAAAGATCTACTATTCATAAAGAGGACATTCTCTGCAGCTAAATCTGGTTGAATTAGTTTTTTGTTCATGTTTTTCAATTAAATTAAATTCAGTTTGTTTCTATAGCTCCAATTCACAACACGTCATCTCAAGGCACTTTACAGTTCACCAGATCATCCAGTCAAATTGATTCAAAGTTTTCTATCGAAGGAAAACCAGTTGATTGCATCGACTCATTGACTCAAATGCAATTCCTCATTAAGCATGCTTGTAGCAACAGTGGAGAGGAAAAACTCCCTTTTTACAGGAATAAACCTCCAGCTGAACCAGGCTCAGTGTGAGCGGCCATCTCCCGAGGCCGACTGGGGTTCAAGGAGACAGAGCAGAGATACAAAAAGCAACTGTATAAGGCGGCCCCGTCCAGGAAACACAGCCAGGCAGACGAGCTCCGGGCCAACTCCCATGTCAGAGGATGAAGAGAGCACATCCAGTCGGTCACAGTCAGAGACACAGGACTGCACTAAAAAACAGGCTGATCTCCAACATCTATAAACAAAGGTGTTGATGGCAGCAGCACAGCTGATATTTCTCTCCAGGATGGAGTCACAGCCAAACAGGAACAGACCAGATGAAGCTACTAAGAGAAAAAGCAGAGAGAGCAGAATGTTAGAGATTTAACACATTTTGCTATTTCAGAGAATAGAGATAGAATGAATCAGAATAATGAAAAAGGGGTTCCTATGTCCTCCAGCAGTCTAAGCCTATAGCAGCATAACTATAGAGATAGTTCAGGATATGTAAAAAATGTTATTATTCATCCAGTAAAGTCAGCTTCATTTATCATGTTTGAATCTATTTAATAATTGACATTGTTAGAAATGATGCCGTAAATTAGCTGGATTTTTTCCCATAGTTTTTTTAAAGCAAACCCTGAATCATGCTGAGCGTGTTTAGAGTGCAGTGAACTCTGACCTTTGATTGTTAAAGCCGCCAGGTTTGGGCAACAGGGGTCACATAACGATTCTTTGCTAAGCAAAACATTTTTATGGTAATTTTGATCATATTTAGTGCTTATTTTCATAAAAAAATACAGGCTTCCTCTGTTCCAGAGGTGGGTTTTTCCCTGGCTTGGTTCTCTGATAACAAGAGCGCATGAGCAGAACGCGTCATCTCCGTCTGGCTGCACATCGCGATTCACACTCCATTCCAGTAGTTGGTGGTAATGCCCCTGCGGAAGTTGCTTGCCAACCAACACAAAACAGAAGAACAACAACTATAAACAACAATCGAAATCTTCTCCACCCAGAATAGACGATCATTTGTCTGATCCACGTTCCAAAAGCCGACTTTCTCAAGTAAATCCACGAAAGGTTGCCATCTTCGCTTGAACTTCCGCAAACACTGAAGTATAGCAATAATAATCAAGCATAACTTTCTGAATGTGACGGGCGCCGTCATTTTGATTTGCTTGATTCCCTCCTTCTTCGTCTTCCTCTTCTTGTGTTTTATGGCGGTTGGCAAACAACTTTTGGTGCATTACCGCCACCAACTGCTTGATTTCCTCCTTTAATACTGGCAGTAATACCGCAGAGCGTCACTAGGAGGCGAGGAGTCGAGGAACCGAGATAGCGTGATGTGTAAACGGTCGTCAGAACCAAGCTCGGCCTGGTTAACTGATCCGAGCTCGGACCGGTCTCGGCATGGATCGGTTTTTCAAGGGTAGTGTAAATGGGGTAAAAGATTTAGAGCTTGATTGCTGCTTTCTACCTGGATTAGCTGAAGCTGTATGCTAACTTTGAAACACTCTTCCTATCGTCCAAAAAAAAAACTGACTAAAATTTCATTTTTATTACATTGATCTGTTCTCTGCATTTATCCAGAGCTGGAGACATGGGATGTACAGCTGGGTGTCGTCTGCATCTCTATAGTAACTAGAGATGTCCCGATCCAGGTTTTTGCACTTCCGATCCGATACCGATATTGTTTTTGGACTTCCGATCCGATATCGATACTGGCCGATACAAGCCTATCCGAGCATGTATTTAAGTTTAAGTTAAAGTATTTAGCCTTAGTTGTAAGACTCATGATGAAAAGGGTTTTAGTACTCTTGATAACATCTAGCCAGCTAAATTAGGTGAGATAAAACACAATGATTGGTAACAACAAACTTACCTGTTTATTAAGAGATAAACACAAACTGGACAAAATTATGAATAGCAATCTGAAATTGCACAGTGAACAGTAAAACCGTAAACAGTTAAAGGTGCAAGTATTACTGTAAGTTTTAATAAAAATGCAAAACAGGGAAACACTGGCGCCAAATAGTGGAATGGATCGTTTCAATCGGCGAAACTGGAAAATACGGACCGGATTTTTTTTTTAAAAACTGGATCGGCAGTCTGGATCGGCATTTTACATGCTTTGCCGATCCGCATTTTTTTGCCAATATCGGCGTCCCGATCCGATATGTGGATCGGATCGGGACAAGCCTAATAGTAACTGATATTGTTCATTAAGATCTGAGTTAGTAGAAGCATGGAGATACTGAATAGGAGGGGCCCTAAGATGGAGCCTTGAGGAACACCACATGTGGATTTTTTATTTTTATTTTCTTCTGGTTTCTTATATAAACAGGGGCTGATCTGAAATCACTTTACCAGGAATGTTTGGGATGTTATAAAAGAACATGTTTAATATTAAGAACTGTTAGAATATTGATTACTTTGCATCTTAACCAGGAAACGGGCCTAAAATATTAATCCCTGAACCTGTTTCCGTTCGCCCATAGCTCTGAGCGTCTTTCTATTCCCTGTCCCTGTCACTGTCTGAACTTTGTAAACATCATTCAGTCATCTTTTTCCTTCCAGTCTTTTACAAGGTTATACACATTAGGCCATGTTTTAATCCATACATATACACAATAAAAATGTTCTACTGAGCTCAAAATTTGGAAATTTAATATAAAAATATAGAGCGACAAAATGGATGTTTCAATTTAAGAACTGATGGATATCTGACTCTAAGAGGAGAAAACGGTGTGAAGAAGATAACTTGCTTAAACATCTCCTGCTAAAAGAGGAGAAGCTGCTTCAGGAACCGCAGGGCTGCGGCTCCTCTGCCTGGTTTCTGCTTCTGTCTGACTGCCGTTCATTTTTCATCGTAGCGGTTTAACAGACAGCAGAGGAAACGCAGACGCTCGCCTCTTCAGGGGTTACTGTGAGTCAGTCACGTAGCTTCGGTTTCAGGTGTTGTTTGTTCATGGGATGGTTTTTAAAGGGAGGGGTCTCCTTGGATTTATTTCCTCCATGTTGAGTCTCATTAACCCCGACGTTCCTGAGGTCTTCCTTAAACCTCAGTTTGAAGCTGAATTCAGGGACTTTTTTACAAGCTGAGCTCAAGACTCACGTTTCTTATCTCAGGAAAACACTGGGAAATGAAGAGCGGATCTAATTAGAGCCAGAAGTCTGATTTTGTTTAGAGCAGCCATCCTTTGAATGTATGCTCTATGATGATGTTTGTTTAAATCCTCTGAAGATTTTTATGATTTAAAATTCACTGAGCGAAGCTTTGGGCACCATCACCTCAGACATCCTTCATCAGAGGCTGATCTGGTTCACAGTGAAGCTTAGTGCAGATCCCACACATCCTGGTCGGACCGTTCAGACTTCAGGGACGCGCTTCAGAGAAACAAACCAACCGTCTCTTCCCGCAGGCTGATGGGAACCATGAAACCCTCACAGCCAGGATAATCAGCTACTCTAAAACACTTAATATATGCATTATTAATAAAACAATTAGCCGCTTGCAGATGTTTACAAACCACTATTATCTATTTTATCTTGTCCTTTTTATACCTTCTATCATTTTCTACATATTCATATATTAGTTAGTTATAATTAAAGGAATGAAAAACAAAACTGTTAAAAAGTCAAATCTCCATTTCATTTTTAGACTTAAGACAGATTTTATTTGTCACTTTGTTTACACAAGTATAAAACAAAAATACATTTCGTTTGGAAACAGCTCACTGGACAATTTCATCTTTTAAAAGATTTATTTATTTATTTTTCTGCATTAAAGGTGATTCTGGCTGTTTTAGTATTTTTATCTAATAAATAAAATAGTTGCTTGAATTTTTCCTGACTTAATGTAACATTAACATTCATGTTAGTAAAGATTATAGTAAAAAAAATAAAAAAATTTTCAGATGTTTGTTAAGCAGGAGAGTTTTTAAAATCTGTAAAAATCTTTTTCAATAATTCTGTTTCTTTTGGTTAAAAAATTTTTGATAAAAAAAAAAAATTAAAGCAGAATCTTTTTTTTGGTCAATGAAGTTTTTAAATCGGTTGTATTTCTTCAAGAAATTGAAAAGGCTTCTATAGAACTACACATTCTAGAAGTTTTTTAATCCGTCATCTCGGACAGCTTCAGTTTCCTCGGCTTTAATGATCTCTTCCTCTCACATGCCATTAACAATACGAGGCGTGGTGGTTAAATCGGACGCTGGTCTTATGTAAGCCTGATTGTTTGAACACCTTGGTACGGCTGAAGGACTGTTCTTGTTGATGTTGGACTCCAGCAGAGCTTTCCTTTAACGCTCCAGCTCCATAAATGGGCGCCGGTCCAATTAGGTCCGTTAAATAACATCTGATTATGCTGAAAAAAATGTTAATCTGACAGTCGGAACCATTTCTGTTTGTCTGGAGGTTTTCTGCGCCCCTCATGGTGAAACCAGCTCCAGTCAGAAGCATCAGAAGCTGGTTCCTTCTGCTGCGTCTTTAGCAGCTCTTTAAAACAGGGCTGCAGTTCATTTCCTGCACTTTATGGGGGAGAAAAAAGAAAATATCTCCTCTGAGGAGCAACAGGTCCACCATTCTGAGGGTTGGAGGCCATTTTGTTGTGGTTACATGATTGAGGACGGGTGGGGGGTTGGGGGGGCGCACATCATGTTTCTTAAGGTAACAAAGGGAAGGAAGATTTGAGCCTCAGCAGTGAGAACAGGATGTTTTTCTGGGTGTCTGTTGTCCACTCTGGATGCCAGCCAATCAGCAATCAAACAAATTGGAAGCAACGGCATCCTGAAGGGGAAACGGGCCGACACGTAGCCCCTCTCTCACATTAAAGCAGCTTAACTGATCTTTACTTGACGGTGAGAGAAAATGCTGAGGATCAAACTCAGCCGGGTCATCGGTGAGGAAATCAGCCCCAACAGCAGCAGATCTAAAAAGAAAACTTTGGACCCCTTACTAACGTGTCCTGGCGATCGGGTGTACCGAGCCCACAAACCGTCCTGAATGAGCGAATCTACAAGAACAGATAAAACCAGAGGCGCCTCAATCTAATCATCAGATTTAAATCTTAGTGATTCTTTCATCTTCCATCTGCAAAAAGCATCAAAGTTTCATTTAAACAACCTCCTCCCTGATCTATTGATCAATTAGGTTTCCAAACATGTTTATTCATAGATTTAATAATTTCCTTTCCTTTCTTATTTACTTTTTTGGCTGCAGACACCAGCTTAAATCATTCACCTGGTTGGTGGAGATCCCAGGAATCTCCTGTCTTGGTGAAATTCCCAGATGAACAGTTTTAAGAGTAAAAGCAGCGATTTCTGCACAGCTTCTGCCAAACATTTCTGAGGACACAGTTATAAATACTCCGCTCAAGCGGTCCGTTAACATGGAGCAAAATGGACATGATCCAAATAAAAAAAGATCTTGTTGCTGATACTGAGCATCTTCTCCAAAATGTCGACATTTTCCTTCTAAGTTCTGAAGAGTTTGAACAAAAAAACTTAACCCTTCAATAAAAAGCAGGAAGGAAGAGAAAGTCTTTCCACTCCTGACAGAAACCTGTGTCCTCTCCCATCCTTCCTGTGCAGACGGGGCTCTAACGTGTCTCTGGTGCTGGACATGTCGGCCCTCGGCTCGGTGGAGCCCCTCAATGTCGCTGTGGTGACCCCCAGAGAGGCAGCCGCCAGAGAGTACCTGCTGTCAGCCGGACGGCCGCTGACAAGGCAGCAGCTCCGAGACGTCGTCAGCAACACGCACAAGCTGCATGTAGAGTTCGCTGTAAGTCCATTTAAAGGGTTAAGATTCACAGTGACCACAGTACAAAACAGGGAAGATCAGTTTGGATGCACGGTCATTCCAAAAAAGTTAAAAAACAATCCACTGTACTTTGTTTCCAAGTTTGAAGTCGTGTCGCTTCCCATCCAGGAAGCTTTTTTCAATTCAAAATGTCTGAAATAGTGTTGAATTCAAGATTTTATACAGTAGCTCAGATTTGAAAACATGCAAATTAACCCGGATGAACGGGTCCGTCCCTTGGAATGGGGGTCGTTTGGCTTCTTTTGTTAGCCTGTAATAGCCCATACCTGTCTATGTCTCTCAAAGGGATAACAGTAAAGGGAATTGTATTCAGCCAGGCCAACAATTCCCTTTAACAACACTGTTGCAGTAGCCCAACACCGTTTTGTTGGGCTACTGTATAAAGCCTCAAACTCAACGCTGTTCCTGGCATTTTGAATTGAGAAAGCTTCCTGGATGGGAAGCGCAACGTCTTCAACCTTGGAAATAAAGTCTAGAGGATTGTTTTTTAACTTTTTAACACGGATCAAGGCATTTCTTTTTTTTACAGCTTTTACAAATATGCATCATTATCCCGAGATAAACATAAAAAGAAATTACTTCCGCTTAAGCCACCTAGATTCAGATAAATATTTACTTTTATCTCTTAAACTTGGGTCCAAATAAAAGCTTTAAGTCTTGAAATATGTTTTGCAGATAAACCTGCAGTGGGCTGAGGAATATGATCCATTTTTCAGTGTTCAGTCAGCATCATGTTCTTAATCTCTACAGACATTTAGAAATCTGAAAATGGAATGAGTGAGTTGTTCAGGTTCAGGAATATTTCCAGCATGTGGGTTCAGGTTTAGTTTAGAGCCTGGAAGCTGTTCAGGCTTCAGTTTCAACATAGAGGCCTTTTCTCAATTCACAAGAGCACGATTACAGACTCTTGTCCTCGCCAAGTATGTTCTTGAGAAGAACACAGGAAAGTGTGGGAGAACGGGAGAACACAGCATAAATATGGATCAATTGGAACAGAAGTGTACTTGTGACGTCCCACATGCTCAGCTCGTCTGGCGTCGCATTTCACCTCCTGTTACTAATAGTCTCTAGATAATAATATATTTGTAATCCCTAAAGTTATCTCTGCCATTAGGTTCAGATTGGCTGCATCCAGAATTCAGTCTGACGCTGGTTTATCTATCTCATAAAGAGAATTGATCAAAAAATTAAGCAAAAGAAATCTGGAAATCCTGAAGGAGTATTGACTAAGACCAAAGATAATAAATAACTTGTAACTTCCTCTAACATTTGGACTAATTCACTAAATGCAGGAACAGATTTTTCTCACAAACTTCCCTTCAGATGCACATATTTAGCAGGAAAAGCTCAAAACAAACTTGATCCAACCTTTTTTTCCTACCCGATCATATCAGCTGTTAAGTCAAAGAAATGAGGCAGAGACTGACTCATTAAAAACCTGATCTAGATCCACCTGAACCGCTCTTCTCTTCATTAACCTAGTTGCTAACTTTCCGTGATGTCTGCCTAGCTGGAGGAGAACGTGTTTTATCACTAACTTCTGTCTTCCATTTCATCTCAGGAAATACCGATGAATTTTATTGATCCCAAGGAGCTGGATATTCCAAACCACGGCACTAAGAACAGATACAAGACCATCCTGCCCAGTAAGTAGTCTGTGTTGCTAGGAAGTAGCAACATTTCCAAAACAGCCATCATCCCTCGTTTCCTGTTGAACCAGGAAGATGTTTTATACATTCAATGTTAAAGGCCAACATTCCTAAGTACGGGGAATATTTCAGCATCCCTCCTCCTCATCAACACGCTGCTATTCTCTGAGCACAGTCTGTTCTCAGTTAGGGGCTTATTCTCATTAAGACATTGCATAACAAACAGTTTTTGTATTGTGAACTTGTGTTTTGGAAGGGAGGGGGCGGGGTTATCAAAAACAGAACTGTTCCTTCCTGCAGCCAATCAAGAGTGGGAATGTTCACCAAGAGCTGCTGTCAATCAAACGGCTTCCTTTGTTCCAGTTTCTGTTTTCTTTGCAGAGGGTTCATTGTGTTCTGCAGGAATGTGTTCGCTCTGAACTGTGAGGTGATTGAAACCTAAAACATGAGTCTAACAGCTCTGCTGATCTCAGTACAGCTGATGTTTTCGTGATTTGTCAGCTAATCGATCCCGATCTTTATCCGCGTCAGGAGCTCAGGGTCCCAAGGAGGGATTTCCCAATCAGATGCGAATCAGTGGAGGTTAAACCTTCATTAATTATGTGAAAACATGACTCTCTCTTTCTGAAAGAAAGCAAGCGGTTCCTCTAGTTTTGAATCCAGTTTTTTTTATGGCGTCCCTCAGGGCTCCATTGCAGGCCCTGACCTGTTTTTGCCATAAACGCATCTTTGGGATCCAAATTTCAACAGATTTCCCAGTAGTTTTTTTTTCTTTACATCTTCAAACCTATAAGGATGAAAAATTATTGTTCCCTGCAGCTTTGCAACAGCAAGTGATCAAGTTTTTCTGTTTAGATCCCAGGTTTCCTTATCATCTGGTCTCTGTGATTAAGAAATACATCCATTTTCCAGATCGTATCCCCTTAGATTTACCTGTTTTATCCTACAGTAGTAGCATTCAAAATTTCCCCACTTTCCTTGATGGGTCCTTGACTGTTCCCTACAATTCCTTTTTAAATATCAATCTTTCAGACCCTGGAATTCAGTGAAAGGGTGGAGTCGGGGTAAAAAAATATGTTGGGTTCATGGGGGAGTTTTTGCTGGGTGTTGCAGGGAAGTGGGCTGCCATTCTGCTGGCGTTTGAATGCTACTGTAAGCACCAAAAAGACATGAGGTTTAAGGAAATCCTTCTCTTCTTCTGTCTTAGATCCTCATTCCAGAGTTATCTTGAAGTCAAAGATCTGCAATGACCCGCTGGGCTCCTACATCAATGCTAACTACATACGGGTGGGTAACAACTTTCAGACAGCTGAATGTTCTCTTTGCTTTTAGCTGCGTTTACTGCTCGTCTCTCTGCCAGCTGTCTGCTCTTCCAGCCTCCCGCTCACAGAGCTAATGGCGCTAATCGGACCGGTGCCGTCATGTTCTGGTACGGGTAGGGAGCGATGGAGCGGTGTCATTTCCTCAAACCTTCTACAGACGAGCATGATTAATTTCCAGCTTTTTTTTTTTCACTTCCCATTAAGAGTTTATAATTGGTTTTCCACATCTGTCTGCTTTGCTCTGACTCTCTTTTCTAAATGACATTTTCTTTTTTTAAACCGTTAAAAAAGCTGCACTATTAAATATGTCTTACTTGGTTTAGAGATTTTAAGGGAGGGCAGGAAATTGCCTGGTTTTCTCTTTAAAGTATGTTTATCATTTAACCAATCAACCCTGGCTTCTTTAAAATATGTAAAACCTTTGATTTTATTTTGCCTGTGCAAAGTTTCAGTCATCCGGATCAAGGCAAACAGAACCTCGCTGTCTGTAGTGTGATCTGCTAGAATTGATGTAAACTCCTTTAATCAGTACAAGAAACTTCCTCCAATTAAGCCTGTTTTATTCTTTAATTTACAAAGAGCAAAAAAATAAGGCAGCGGTCCCCAACCACCGGGCCGCTGACTGGTCCTTTGGTCATTTGGTACCGCGCCGCACAGAAAAAAGTATATTTAAATGTATATATATAATTTATCGACGATCAGAGTCTGAGTGAAGTTTTATTTTGAAAAATATAAAAAATTGCGGTATTCTCTCCCAATTACATCAGTCGGTGCATCTGTGCCTCTTGACACATGTTAATTCAGTTCAAGATGCATCCTATCTATAACATCCTATCTTTGTGAAGCGGGATTTTCTGAGGTTACAGACTGGACTTCAGAAGCACACTTCATGTGTAATTTTCTCCGATTACGCCTAGATGGGACCGGCTTGTTTTATTTTTATGCTGTTTGTTTTTGATTTTATGCCAGTCTTATCATGTTACTGGATCGTATCCCCCCGCCCGGCCGGTCCGTGAAAATATTGTCTGTCATTTAGCGGTCCATGGTGCAAAAAAGGTTGGGGACCGCTGGGCTAAGGGATGCTTTGAGACTAGAAGAACTCTCACAGTAAACTAATTCCGCATTGCACAAGACGCAAATAGCTTTAGTGTTGTTGAGGTTTCCATTAGGAAACTTCTTATAAATACATTTTCACTAAAGCAAACCCGGCAGCTTTATAGCTGCATCCAAGTTAGCAGGTGACGTTCAACATGGTAGGCCTACACAGGTTGGAAGACCTGGAAGCAGGTTTGTTCTCGCCTGCAAATATCCATCTGCGCCAGACTCGGGCATGACTTTCTGAAGGACTGGTGTGGACGTACCCCCAATAATGGTGGGGGTACGTCCACACCAATAATTTCTTTCCCCTTTTGCCTCATGTACTGTAGCCAGAGGTAATGGAGTTGGGTGCAGCTATCTGTGTTCAGAGCGTTTCGAGTCCGTGTTTTTTTTTTCTCTATTATATTGCAAGAAGCTTGAGAAAACATTTTTTAAATGTTGTGTTCTTCTTTACAAGTTAAAACAAGCTTGGCTTCTCAGAGGACCATGACTCCTAGTTACAGGTTAAAATTTTCTTATTGTACAGACAGAACCAGACTGCAGAGCTTCTACATATCTTGAAATTTAGTTTCTGGCATCATTATATTAGTAAAGAGGTTCATAAATCTTTTAAACAGAGAGCAGAGAGAAGTAGAGAGAGCTGCAGATTTAAAGGGGAAACAGATTTACTGGGATATGCAACATGCAATATATCTCCAGGTTTAACAGAAAGTTTACAAGGTAAACATTGTATGCTATCTTTAATATGCAGCATATCTGTATTTATTCTGGATGGATGGAATTAAAATTGTACTTCTAGGGATGCATGATATATTGATTTTGGCATCAGAATCGGCTGTTGTCCTTTATTTTTCTATGTTTTTGGGCCCTATATATATAATGCAATAAAATGCATCTCTCTAACATCTTTAATTATAAATATTAGTGTAATATGGTTCTTTTGTGTTCTCAATAATAGGAAAGTATTCAATAAATATATGCTTGAGCTCATTTTTGGAAAATACAAAAACTTAATGTTCCGGTGGAGTAACTGTAGGTCCATCAGCCTCTACCCTATGAGTTTCCATCAACTTTCATCACAAAGTTACAGCCTTGGTGCCAGATATTAATCTGCGCTAAAATATCAAGGTGAAAATCATCACAGCTTACGTAGTGTAGACCCAGCTCCCAGAGGGGTTTTCTATTCTATTATAAATAATAGGAGCAAAATTTCATATTGTTTTCACTTCAGTCAAAGAAAAAAGTACAATGCTGTAAAATTACTCCTGAAAGTAATTTTATTTTTTCCAAAGGTTACTCTGCATTTCACCCATTTTAAGCAGGCTCTAAGGAGTATAGACACGTTACGTTTTTGCGGCAAAATTTCACTCTTAAAACATTATTTAAAATGATTTGGAAGTATAACTCTCGTCATTTCTTTCATAATTCATGCGCTACGATCAGGTCATGTCACTGACTGGATCCTTATTTACATGCAGAGACAGACGGACGAGTTATAATGGCTGCCGCTGCTGCTAACAAGCTAAAAACAAACGATCTGCCCATAAAAGCCGAGCGCAGCCGAAAGGGCCTTCTTGGATCGAGACTACCGAAGCCATCTGATTGGCGCTAAAAAGGTCTGATTTCGATAGCGAGACCAGAGAAGCCCCCTGATTTGACGAGCCAATCCGGCAGTTTGATTGGTTCATATCGAGACAGGGCACTCTGATTGGTTGTCATATTGAAACTTTGAGACTGAGAACAACGGTACTTTGAGAAGAGATTAACAGCTATATATTTTTTTAATCGCCCAGTAAGAGTCTGGCGTTGACGTAACACGTAAACGGCAATAACGGCACACCACTAATTAAAAATAACTTTTTACCACCTTATCACAACACATATAGCAAAGCTGCTCACTGCAGTTGAACACAGGAGCAGCAGAAGCTTTAGACGCATCTGGACACACTTTACTGGATGTAATCTGTGATGCTCCTGAGGCACGTCTGACCTTTGTGTTCAAGCATCAAAACTGAAGAAGCCGACGCTTCTTTGCTGCTGAAATCACGTTCGGTGTGAACTTAGCATTAGCTCACAGTTAGAGTCCACTTCATAAAAGCAAATAGTCTGACAGTATGTGGGAGCGACATACCCTGTTTGTTAATAATAGTTTTATATCTCTGTTTATTGGAAATCATTAGTGTTTCCCATCTTTTAATAATCTTTTTTTTATTTCAGGGTTTTTATTAAAAGTCATAAAATTATTATTTTTTAAATCAAGGCCTTAATTGGCATTAAAATTCATTAAATTTGATAACTGTGGCATTAAAATGCTTCGGAGAAGAAGCTTGTGGCGGAGAAAAGGCTAGAGAATTTGGAAAACGAGGAACTCGGGAGAGTCATGGGTACTTGTTGATGGCATTAAACTTAATTTGAAGAGCATTAAAAGAGGATTAAAAAGCATTAAATAACAGTTACACATTCATGTATAAACCCTGTATTTAGTAACCAAATGGGTTTCTGTTTTGTTATCTGCTGTTTGTTTTTTCAGTCATTATTTAATACAGCTTGCAGAATAACAAGTTAAAATAGATGTACCATCTTTTTATTTCAGCAGACATAGCCTTATTAATACAAAAGAAATCAACTAATGGTTAGTTGATCATGAAGATCAATCAGAGTTAGAATAATCTATTAATCAATAACTTGCATCCCAAGTATTATAGATCCTTTGTAGTATTTTAGTATGGAAGATAAACTGTCTCATTGGAATCTGCCTTTTTTTTAACACCAAATTTTAAACACTGAATTTTTTTAGCACCTAAATTTTTTTTTAGCACCACTGAATTTATTACAAATTGAAATTGGATTACACTGAATTTTTAATTGGTAGAAATTCAGCTGCAAAAAATGTGCCTGCAAATGTGTTGACCTTTTGGTGTACTCAAGCAGAAGCAATCTACACTCGATGCAAGCGAGCAGCTTCTAGCCAATGAAATTAGCTCATTCGCTCATTTTTCTTGTTAATTACATATGATTACACAACTTCAGGTAGCTACAGCCATTAGAGTTTTTCATCTAATCAGACTTGGTGAAATAACTGAGCCGAACACAGCTAGTGCCACAGCCCTGTCTGCCAAGGCTCTTGGTTTGATCTGGAACACACTGCCGGCTGCAAACTTTTTTTCCCTGACCAAATGAGCTAATTTCATTGGCTTAAAGCTGCTCTACCGCATGAAGACTGCATTGGCTTGAGTTCATCAGAAGGTCAACATAGTCGAACTTTTTGCAGCTGAATTTTTTCTTTTTTTTTGCAGGGAATCTTTTGCAGCTGAATTTTCAACAGATAAAAATTCAGTGCAAGGAATGCAGTGTGTAAAATAATTAAGTGTTTAAAATTCAATGTACAAAAAAGGCAGATTCCAATGAGACTGTTTTTCTTCCATATTTTACAGAACATTTGCTTGTTTTTTTGACAATGAAGTGTTTTTTTCCACTTTCCCCTTGTGCTTGCTGTGGGGGTTGGGGGTCCTTTAGAAGAAATTTGTTATCACTAATTGGACATTTTATTTTTCTTCCAAAGAGTTATTAAATAGAATAAACTTTAAATCATGGATTTAATTGATTTCACAAAGCCTTGGTATTTATTCTTCAATGTCCCGGAAGACATCTGCGGTGACCCGTTGCTTTAAGCAGCGCAAACACTGTACCTGCCGCACAGTTTAAGAACATACTTCGTGAGCTGTGAACTTTTAAACCCTGCAGTTTCATCGTACAATGTGAGCTGCAGCTGCGAGCAAAAATAAAAAAAAATCGTACAGCGTACGGCATTAGAAATAAAGTGCATTGAATTAAATGACAGACGTAGATCAGCAAAGAGAACAAACATCTGAATATTTGCATCAAGCTGAAAGTGATGCAGTTTCTACCCTTAAAAGGCTTTAAGGTGGTTTGTTGTGTCTGAGCTTCTCTGGGCGTCTGCTCTGCTGTTCCTCATCAGTTCAGGAAAATGAAAAGAAGAAAACATGAAGGAATCTGTCATTACAGCTCGTCTGGAATGTCTGCAGCTTTTCTTTGTTCTTCTAGATTCCTGCTGCTGAAACGCTGTGAAAGTGAACTCCTGCTGAAGTCTGTAATGTTGCTCTCAGACTCTCACACAATGGACCGCCTTCCTGTCAGGAAGCTCTGCAGAAGCAGACGGGAACTCTTTGTCCTACTGTACTTAATATGTCTGAGCATGATTGAGATTTTTCCGAGTAGTTTAAAATGGTCCTGAGGGAGGGAACATCACCACACTGTGCTTTTTATATTCACCTGAATAAATGTTCAGAAAAAAAAAGAGTAACACAGCTGTGGCTCTCCTCAGGGTTACCTAGGCGACAGCAGGGCCTTCATCGCCACTCAGGGTCCCATGGTGAACACGGTGAATGACTTCTGGCAGATGGCGTGGCAGGAGGAGTCGCCCGTCATCGTCATGATCACCAAACTGAAGGAGAAGAACGAGGTAACCGGAGGAGGTGTTCGGGTTCTTGGTCTCCACAGGCCGACTGTAGCTCCTGATGGGAGCTGAAGCAGTTTATGGATGCCGGTGTTCTGTCAGACGAGCATACCCTGTCAGACCAGCATACCCATAGTCAATACCCATTGACTTCTTTAGTTTATCTCTTTAGTTTTGTACGAAAAATAAACTTTAAACTACCTCAATGGGCGTTTATCCCTTTAGTCATGCACAAAAAACTGTTTAATTACTTACTTTTTGTTGTTTTCTGAAGGCGATCAGACCTTAAATAGTTTTTTTTTTGTACATGACTAAAGGGATTATATAATTTTTCAAACGAAACTAAATGGATAAATGCAAATCTGATGTCTTGCGCATGCGTATTGATTATGGGTATGCTGATCTGACGGAACACCGGACCCCGAGACATAAAGGAAAAGAGCCATTTTGGCTTTGGCGCTGCTCTGATTCCTTAAAAACAAAAACTTTGCTGAGTGTAAAATCCTCTGAAAGTGATCAAACCTGGATTAGAAATAAGTGGCATAATAGGAAGGATACGAGATTAACACTAAACGAGATGTTCATCATGTTAAAACAGACATCCCCACAATCGGTCATCGAGTGCCGCTGTCCTGCAGGTATTAGAGGTTTCTCTGCTTTAGCACAGCTGATTCTGATCATTACAGGTATTCAGCTATCAATGTAAATCAGCTGGAGCAGGGAAACGTCTAAATCCTGCAGGACAGCGGCCCTCGAGGACCGACTTTGGTGATGCCTTTGTCTAACGATGATGTTCATCAACATCCATAAAAACATTAACATCATCAATGTTTAATAAATATAGAGATCTGTCAACATTAAAATCTGTCAAGCTTCTGCAGATCTGTGTTACTGAGAGCGCCGTGTGTCTGCAGAAGTGTGTCCTGTACTGGCCGGAGAAGCGGGGCATCTACGGGAAGGTGGAGGTGCTGGTGAACGGCGTCAGAGAGTGCGAACACTACACGACCCGAAACTTGTCTCTGAAGGTTCGCTCTCCGTCCTCCTGCAGCCTGCTGATTTAAAAACGGCTTCAGGTTTCGAGCTGACCTCTCTGTGTGTCTGAGCAGTGTGGGAATCAAACCCGCGTTCTGCAGCATTACTGGTACACGTCGTGGCCCGACCACAAAACCCCGGACTCGGCGCTGCCGCTGCTGCAGCTCATGGGAGACGTGGAGGCCGACAGACGTGCCGCCGACTCCGTGGGACCAGTTATAGTCCACTGCAGGTACTGAATCACCGTTTGTTTCCCCCAAACAGTCCAATGTGTTAAAACGCTTCACAGCCTTGTTCTTGCGCTCGCAGTGCTGGGATTGGCCGGACGGGATGCTTCATCGCCACGACGATAGGCTGCCGGCAGCTGCTGGTGGAGGGGGTGGTGGACGTGCTGAGCATCACCTGCCAGCTCCGAGCAGACAGGTAAAAACCCATTAACCCTTTCCTTTCTTATTTATTTTGCCCGTTTGTCTTATCTGCTATTTTTTCTTTATTTTGCTGTTTTTAAAGGAAATATTTATCTTCTTTTTGGATCTCCACTTTAACACAAAACATTTACACAACTGTCTTTATTCACAGTGCAAAAAATGTAGAAATAGAGTAAAACCCTCTAGGTTATCGACACAAACTAAAAGAAAAATATACAAGCTCGTCTTATTTAATAAGATAAGTTTAAAATCTGTAACAGGAGTTCTATTTCATACCTACTGACCGCCAGAGGGCGGTGCTGAAAGCACTGAATGTTCCCTTCGGGCATGCGCAGTTCGAGTAATTATACCAACAGAGTCACACCTGTTACACCGGATGACCACTCAGAAGCTATATAGCCTGGTGTCATCCTTTGCTCTGCTCCTTTTTTCTTCTCGCAAGCGGTTCGCTAACTTCCCCGTTGTCTGAAGCCCCTGTCTCTTGACCGGAGTTGTGGTTATTCTCCGCCCTCCCAGGGCTGCAACGGGTCGATTCTGAAGATTACGGTAAGTGAGTTGTTTGCTGGTGATGGTAGCGTCCGCGCCCCCTCTCCCGGCTTTAGCTTTTTACCTACAGCTTCGTGCTGTTTTGTTTCGAACTGGTGACGGCAGCATTTTCGCCCCTACTCCCAGTGTGAATAACTTCACTGCCGAAGTTATATACGGCTAACGTAGTTAGCTTCTTTAGTTTGTTGGTGTTATACCTGGTGACGGCAGCGGTTTTCGCCCCCTCTCCCAGTATATTCCCTACTTTTGCATCCTTTTTTTCACCGGTCTGCGCTGCTATAATTACTGACGGCCGCGGTTTTCGCCCCCCTCTTCCAACCAAGTGTGGTCTACTTCGTTTGCCGAAGTTGGAGACGACTAACGTTGTTAGCCTTTTTTGGTTTGTTTGCAGCCTTCTTCATCGGTCTGCTTAGTTATAAATGGTGACGGCAGCGTTTTCGCCCCCTCTCCCAATATCAACCTTTTTTGCAGCCTTTTTCGTTGGTCTGCTCTCTTAATTGGTAACGGCAGCGTTTATCGCTCCTACTCCCAACTTAAGTTGCGATACAGCTTTTTTTTTTTTTTTTTTTTTGTTTATTGCTTTTATACCTGGTGACGGTAGCGGTTCTCGCCCCCTCTCCCAGTATCGGCCGCCTTGTGTCCGCAGCCTCTCTTGTTTTATCCGCTATAATTGGTGAAGGCAGCGTTGTTCGCTCCTACTCCCAACTTAAGTTTCCATACAGCTAACGTTGTTAGCTTTTTTGGTTTATTGGTTTTATACCTGGTGACGGTAGCGGTTCTCGCCCCCTCTCCCAGTATCGGCTGCCTTGTGCTCGCAGCCTCTTTCGTTTCTCTGCTGTAATTGGTGACGGCTGCGTTTGCGCCCCCTCTCCCGATTTTTGATAACTTTCTGTTCTTTAAGCCTTGTCGGCCTTCGACATGGATGGCTCTCACAGCTGCATAGATTGTGGGGCTGCCCTGCAGGCAGAGGATGGCCACGACCTGTGCCCTACCTGCCTTGGACATGAGCACCTTTTGGAGGCGCTGTCTGAGAACCCCTGTATGAACTGCAGCTTTATGCCCCATGCAGTGAGGGTGGCCCGGTTGGCCCAGTTGTGCCCCCAGGAGGGCTCGGACCTTCCGCCCTCTGGGCAGGTGGTTCCCCCCAAGCGTTCTAAGCGCCGTGGTGGGACCACAGCATCTGTGCCTCTCCCCCGGAGGAAGCGGGCCAAACCTGACCAGGGCCTGTCCACAAGGGTGGAGCAGTTGTCAGCAGAGCTGGCAGAGATGAAGTCCTTGTTGCAGACACGGCAATCTGATCCCTCGCTCCCAGTGGTTGGGCTCTCTTCCCCACCAATGCCCGAGCTGGTTGTAGAGGATGACGTTATCTCTCTGGCTGCTTCCGCTTCTCATTTTAGAGATGAGGAGGAGGCAGGGTCCTCTCAAGCCTCTGAGGCTGGTTCATTTTCATCTCAGAGTGCGGTTGGAGAGGCCGGTGACGGTTCCATGCGGGAGGTCATGTCTATGGCCCTGAAGCAGCTGCAGCTGGAACTCCCACAAGGAGAGGCATCCAGCTCCGGCAGTGCTTTTTTCAGACGTGGAAGGGCTCCTACTCCTTTTTCTGTACCTCCATCAGAGGAGTACTTGAAGGAGTTACACGCCTGTTGGCGGGAACCGAGAGCGCTGTCGCGTCTCTCCTCAGATGGTCGTGTATTAGCTGCCATGCATGAGTCGTTGAAGGCCGGCCTCGACCGTATGCCAGCAATTGAACCAGCTGTTGCTTCACTGATTGTGTCACCAGATGAAGCCCTGCGTCCTGATGTCCGGTGCCCGCGGACTCAATGTCCGGTTACAGATGACCTCCTCTGTAAGGCGTACAATGCAGGAGCGCGTGCTGGCCGCCTTGGCAATTCTCTGGCGCACCTCATGTTTGCCCTGTCTGCATCTGTTCAGGACACTGGTGGTGCAAGTGCGTCGGTTGGTTATAGTGACGCAGCGCTGCAGGCCTTCGCGCTGATGACCAGAGAGCTTGGACGGGTCATGTCTTTCCTTGTCCAAGCTCGTAGACAGGTCTAGTTGGCACAGTCTCCTCTGACTGAAGCATGCCGTAGGACCCTCAGGGGTGTCCCGGTTGTACCAGGGGAGCTGTTTGGATCAGCTGCCTTGGAGGCGCTGGAACGGACTGCTCAGGCACGCCAGACTAGCCAGCAGCTTTCCGGCCTTCGCAGGAGCATACCTGCCTTTCCCCAGCGTTCGGGCCGCCCTGCCACTACCCCCAGCGTTCAGCCACGACCTCAGACTGGTGGCAGACCTGTTGGTTCCTATCCCCATGATGTGCGGCAGAGACCGAGGAGGGACTTTCGTGAGCCAGTCTGCCGCCCTGTTAGACAGACCCGGGCCTCAATCCTGGACGCCCTCCCCCCAGAGCCCCCAGGGGCCGTGGGGATAGAAGATGATGCCACCGGGCCAGCCGTCGGACATTTTTCCCATCAGCAGCTGAATTTCTGGGCTGCTCATGCCGTAGATCCATGGGTGGTTGCCACCTTAACCAATGGCTACAGGCTCCAGTTCCGACGGCGGCCCCCCCTCTCACACCGGGTCAAGATGACTGTCATCACAGACCCGGTGAAATCTCAGGCACTAGACCAGGAGCTTTCCGCCCTCCTGGGCAAGGGGGCAATCGAGTCTGTAGATCCTCTGCGGCAACCCAGAGGCTACTACTCCACATACTTCCTTGTGGCCAAGAAGACCGGCGGTTTTCGCCCTATTTTAGATCTAAGGGGACTGAATCGGTACCTGAAGGTCCTTCCCTTCCACATGCTCACCATAACAGAGGTCCTTCAGACCATTGTGGCGGGAGATTGGTTTACATCAGTAGATCTGACAGACGCCTACTTTCACGTGCCTATTGCGGCAGAACATCGCCGTTTTCTCAGGTTTGCCTATCGGGGGCGCCATTGGCAATTCCGGGTGCTCCCATTCGGGCTCTCCCTTTCCCCGAGGGTGTTTACTCGATGCGTGAAAGCAGCCCTCTCTCCTCTACAGGCCTCCGGAGTCAGGATTCTGCCATACCTGGACGATTGGCTTCTTTGTGCTCCCTCTCAGGTAGCTGCCTCTCGGGATACGTCCCAGCTTCTACTTCATGTGTCACTGTTAGGCCTCAAAGTCAACTTGGCAAAGAGTTGTCTTGTTCCATCTCAGACAACCACCTTTCTTGGGATGCATCTGGACTCTGCTACCATGATGGCCCGTCCATCTGTTCACAGGGTGGACGACATACTCCAGCTTGTCCGTCGATTCAGACTGGGCAGGGAGTTTCCCTACATCATCTTCCTGCGAATGCTGGGCAAACTGACATCAGTCACTCGTGTCGTGCCCTTAGGGCTGTTCCTTCTGCGTCCTTGCAGCGATGGCTCAACAGCTTTCGCCTAGACGCCAGGCTGCACAGGCATCGCAGGCTAATGGTGACCAGGAGCTGCCCCCATGCCCTAGCTCCTTGGCGAGACGGGGCCATTTTGTCCAGTGGTGTTCCAATGGGGCTAGTAGTGTGTCGAAGGGAGGTGGTCACCCCGGATGCCAGACTCATGGGCTGGGGTGCCGTGTGGCAACACAGAGCTGTTCGGGGTCTCTGGGACCCAAGGGAGTGCACCGAACACATAAATGTGCTGGAGCTGCGGGCTGTGCACATGGCCCTCAGGTGCCTTCTGCCCCACCTAGAGGGAAGGCACGTGCTGATTCGGACAGATAACACCTCTGTTGTTTATCATATAAACCACCAAGGTGGCACCAGGTCAGCACATCTCTTGAAGGTGTCGAGGGATCTCCTGGAATGGGCGTTTCCCCGTCTGTGTACCCTGCGCGCAGCGTATCTGCCAGGACGGCAGAACCAGGTTGCGGACTCTCTATCCCGCCAGGCACCTGCTCCGGGAGAGTGGTCTCTTCACTGCGACGTAGTGCGCATAATCTGGAACCTCTTTGGGCAGGCAGAGGTAGATCTGTTCGCCACAGAGGAGTTGACCCATTGCCCCCTATGGTATTCCCTAACCGGGATGGCGGGCGCACTGGGCCAGGATGCACTGGCTCATCCATGGCCGCAGGTTCTCCTGTATGCCTTTCCACCCCTCTCACTGATTTGGCCGACTCTACGGAGGGTTCTCGAGCAGGGCCACAGAGTGTTGCTGGTAGCTCCGTTCTGGCCAGCGCGGCCGTGGTTCCCGCTGCTTTGGAGTCTGTGTCACGGTACTCCATGGCGTCTTCCAGCAAGGAGGGATCTGCTGTCTCAGTTGGGGGGACAGATATGGCACCCCAACCCTCAACGTCTCCAGCTGTGGGCATGGCCCCTGGGAGGCTGACTGGGTGTTCAGACACCGTGAGACACCGTGTTGTCTCCTTTTCACCGTAACCAGCCATTGCGGCTGGCTCGGTTTCAGCCTCAATCTGGTACAACTGAGAATGAGTCTGAGTTGTTGTGCCCAGTAAGAGCGTTGGAGGCATAAATTGCAGCCACCGCCAATCTGAGACGCTCGGACCAGCTTTTCCTATTCTATGGGGGTCCAAGGTTAGGCTGCCCTCTTTCTAAACAGCGTCTGTCCCATTGGATTATGAGTGTCATCTGCCACGCCTACGCTGCAGGTCACTGCTCCCTGCCAGTCGGTGTGAGAGCACATTCCACCAGGAGCGTCACCGCTTCCTGGGTTCCGCTGGAAGCTATATGTGCTGCTGCTTCATGGGCTTCCCCAACCACCTTCACCAGGTTCTACAGTGTCAATGTGGCTGCCCCTCATCCCCTGGGTCAGGTCCTTTTACAAGGTTCTGCTGGGCCTCCTCTGTGAGGTATGTGCTCAGGATTCCTTGTGACATCGTTGGCATTAGTCCTTCAGTGCTTTCAGCACCGCCCTCTGGCGGTCAGTAGGGATGAAATAGAACGAAAGTTACGTATGTAACTACGGTTCTATGAATCCCGGATGACCGCCAGAGCTTCTCTGTCACTCAGAATCCTTGCTTTGCGAGAAGATTCTGTAGGAGCAGAGCAAAGGATGACACCAGGCTATATAGGTTCTGAGTGGTCATCTGGTGTCACAGGTGTGACTCTGTTGGTATAATTACTCGAACTGCGCATGCCCGAAGGGAACATTCAGTGCTTTCAGCACCGCCCTCTGGCGGTCATCCGGGATTCATAGAACCGTAGTTACATACGTAACTTTCGTTTTAAATTCAATAAGAGGAAAACTCAGATTTGTTTCTCTGTCTTATGCTACGTTCACACCTAAAGCAGCAGAAGCAGCTAGTTTACATGCAAAGGCGATGGTTGATGCACATCTTGGCACCGGAAAAGGTCCTGCAGCGCGTTATAAGCAGCAGGAGCAGCGCGATCTTCTGAGAATCGGAAGCGCTGCGAAAGTAGCAGCAGCTGGAGTTGGAAAAATTGAACTTATGCTGCTCTATGCGCCCCATAAACCAATCAGAGAAGCTGATCTGGGAGTTGGCAGAGAGACAGACACACCACTGCTGATGCAGAGCGCTATGATCACTGCTCTGAAACGGTTTATTAATGCCTAAATTAACTTAAAATGCCGAAATCTGCCAGCAAAATATGTTTGATTTTATTATTCTGTTGCCTTCAGTTTGGATTACGTACGTGAAAAACTATAATAACTACTTCCAGCTGCCGCGAACAGTAGTGGAAAAACCACAAAGTGGTGACCTTGCCAGAGGCTGCTGTTGAACAGGATTCCCAGTGACAGAGCACCGCCGGTGTATGGGGTCTGAGCAGCTCTGACAGACATGATAATTGAAGGCAGGATGGTAATCTGGATGAACTGAGCTTTCAGGTCGACTTTCTCACATAAAAACGTTAAAACTACTTTTTTACTTTTTATCTCACAGCAAATATAGCTGCCATTGTTACAGGCAAAGAAAGGCTAGGATAGGGCATCAGGCCCACTTTTCCATCGAGCAGCCAGAACAACAAAGATGCTTCAGCCGCGCATCTGAACTAAACATGTACAGCATCAAAAATGAAGCAGCACATGCGTTTTTGCTGCTCCTGCTGCTAGCGGTCTGAACATAGTATTAGACTGTCGCTCTATTGTGGTGATCAGTAGTCTGTAGTGTTTTCAGGCTGTTTGTGAGAGATTAGTCTAAGCTCTGCTTTTTATCTGGTCTCTTGCATCTCTAAACCTTTATATTTTAAACCACCTTAAGCATCTTAGGATAACATTATTAGCATGGTTAGCATCCCTAACAGCAGTCTGTGTAATTCCCTGTAGACTCATAAGTAGCTAATGGAATCTTCTGCATTCAGCTACAGCTTCCACACTGAAGGTGGTTGCTGTCAGAGTGACTCATGGACACACAGCAGGATGCTGCGTTCACTGATCTGAGAACAAAATAGTTTTTAAGGGACTGAGAAATACAACCTTTAGTTTGTTGCGTTGAAAGTAATTTTTGTTCATAGGATTTTTTAAAATCTCTTTGTTTCCCTGATTTTTTTCTTTAATTCCTTCACCTGTTTGTACATTATTTAATAAGTCAGTAAATATCTGAATTACCATTAAACTTAACCCAGCATCAGCCAGATGGATAGTATGTAGAATTCAAATTGAACTAAAAGTGTCCATCTGGGAGGGACATTTAGTACAATTCTCTGATCTGATTGGGTAAATCAAGTGGCAGCTGTGCTGTATCACATTCCTGAGTTTTTTTTTTTTTCACAACTAGTGGAGTTAACTGATAAAGGAGGAACCAGTAACCATCTTCCCATCGGCAAAGACAAAAATCGAATTCCTTTTGATCGTTTAAAAAAAAAAAAAAGGCTGTTTTACCTAAAACTGGCGCAGCCATGTTTGTTTTGCTTCAGCTCTCCGTCTCTGGTTGATGTGTTGATTTCAGATAAATCACTGCATTTTATTGGTCCGAAACATTTCTGTATCAAAATGAAACACATCTGCTGGCATCCGGAAAGTAAAATGTATTATCAGGAATTTGTGAATTCAGAAATCTGGTGACAGTTCATCTTTTTTGCAAGGTGACATTAAAGTAGGAAATGTAAAATGAAATGACAGGGTTTCTGCGGGTCATCATTTTATATATATATATATATATATATATATATATATATATATATATGAGAGAGAGTCATGGATACTTGTTGATAGCATTACAAGAGCATTATAATAGTTAATCATTCCTGTATAAACCCTGAATAAATAAATGTACCATTGAAAAATCCAAATTTCTCTTGATTTATGACAATAAATAATCTTTAATTGTTTAATTTGCATATACATTTCATTATTTCACTGTATGTATTTTATGCTGGAGTCATTAAAAATGCTCTACTGTCAAACTCAGTGGGCGGAGCTAGAGCTGCTTCCACTGAAACGCTGACATCTGATTGGTTGTTTTTCCATGAGAAAGAAAACCCCTTGCTGGTTTTCCTTTTTAGAGTGAGAGATTTGTTATTATTTAATCGTGTATTTAAAGGTGTAATTGAAATACTTAATAATACATTTATTTATTTCAGTATAAATTTATGTCATGCTATATTTACTTATCTAATGTTGTCCCCCTTAACCCTTCTTAGGAATCTTCTATTTTTTGTGATTTTTAGTATAAAGTCATTTAATTCAATTTATTTTAATTTTAAGATTAAGCTGGGTGTTTAATTCTTCCCCATTTTGCCCCAATAACTGATGTTACCTGGTCTCTCTGGTTCAGAGGAGGTATGATTCAAACAGGGGAGCAGTACGAGTTCGTCCATCACGCTCTGAGTCTGTATGAGGCCCAGCTGTCAGCAGAAACTGGCCAGTGAGACCCCCCCCCGCCCTGCCGTGGGACCCCGAGTGTTTACAGAAACATCTGATGAGCGTTGGTTCTCTCTCTGGGTGAGACTCCTGGACGTTAGTGGATGACAAACTGTGGAAGCTGTGTGCAGAGAAAAAGGAGAAGGTAAATTTCAGCTTCTGGGATGTACCCGTTCTTCTTCTTCTTCTTCACCGGATGTTTAGTTGCCGATCAGTGACACTCCATGGACGTCTGTCACCCGGCGGACCTTGGGAAGGTTGACATTGTTTTCTAACCCTGTGTGACACGTGTCTCTGTGTCCCATAGGATTTTCAATTCTTTTGTAACGTGTGATGTTCTTATCAGCAATCTTGGAAAACGACTGTTAACTGATTGCACCTTTAGCTTTAGCTGCTCTAGAAGTATTTAATGGTCCGCCGTGTGTGTGACCCCGACCAGCAGCATTTCCCTGGAATCTCATCCCTTAGATTTTCCTAATATAAGTCTGGAAAACGTCACGTTTAACAAGTGGTTTATTTTAAGAAGTGATTTCAATGTTCCAAATATGAAGCTTCATTTAAAGTCAGACATTTTGGCTGCTCTACGTTAATAACTCTGTTTTTATTTTACTATGCGTTTTTTTTTTTTTTTTTAAATACAATATGGAAGTAAAATGATAATCAAGAATTTGACGGATCAGAAAATGTCCAATCAGGTCCAGAGTTTTATGATAAACTGCCAGACAATCCAAATGTCCTGCTTGAAACCATTTAAAGATACCTTTCAGTTTAAAGTTTTCCTCTTAATATGATGGTTTAAAACTTAAAAATGCAACTAAAATGCCTAAAAAGTCTCAGTTTAAGCACTGAATTTATTCTTTAATCACATTTTCTTTTTAAAAAAACTGACAAAAAAATAGTTTGGCACCTAATGGAGGATAAACTGCACACATGTAAAGGTTTGAGAAACAATGTCAGATCAGAGTGTAGCACCATTTCTGTCTTTTTAAAAAAAAAAAATAATTAAACCACTAAAATAGGAGCCAGGCCTCGACTTCCAGCGAGTATCAGGCGGGTCGCAGTCAACTGATGGTCAATGTTGGGAGAATGGCCAACCAAGCTAGCCGATCGCGAAGGAGGGTAAATCTGCAGACTAAGAGGAGAGTTAAAAGTTAAGACATTGGTCAGTTTGTTCCATCTGTACTCGTTTTTGTGTGTAAATTTTTCTTTTTGCATTTTTTTATGGCCTTGGTGATTTTGTATTATAAAAGGAAAGTCATCATCAACTTTATTTGTAGAGAGCTTTAAAACAATTGAACATAGCTAAAAATTATAAAACACAATAAAATACAACATAAAGATATATTACTGTACAGGTGCTGGTCATAAAATTAGAATATCATGAAAAAGTAGATTGATTTCAGTAATTCCATTTAAAAAGTGAAACTTGTATATTATATTCATACATTACATACAAACTCATATATTTCAGATGTTTATTTTGTTTAATTTTGATGATTACAAATGACAACAAATGAAAATCTCAAATTCATGATATCAGAAAATTAGAATATTGTGAAAAGGTTCAAAATTGATGGCCCCTGGTGCCACACTCTAATCAGCTAATTAACTCAAACCACCTGCAAAAGCCTTTAAATGGTCTTTCAGTCTAGTTCTATAGGCTACACAATCATGGGGAAGACTGCTGACTTGACAGTTGTCCAAAAGACGACCATCGACACCTTGCACAAGGAGGGCAAGACACAAAAGGTCATCGCTAAAGAGGCTGGCTGTTCACAGAGCTCAGTGTCCAAGCACATTAATAGAGAGGCGAAGGGAAGGAAAAGATGTGGTCGAAAAAAGTGTACAAGCAAGAGAGATAACCGCACCCTGGAGAGGATTGTGAAACAAAACCCATTCAAAAATGTGGGGGAGATTCACAAAGAGTGGACTGCAGCTGGAGTGAGTGCTTCAAGAACCACCACACACAGACATTTGAAAGACATGGGTTTCTGCTGTCGCATTCCTTGTGTCAAGCCACTCTTGAACCACAGACAGCGTCAGAAGCGTCTTGCCTGGGCTAAAGAGAAACAGGACTGGACTGCTGGTGAGTGGTCCAAAGTCATGTTCTCTGATGAAAGTAAATTTTGCATTTCCTTTGGAAATCAAGGTCCCAGAGTCTGGAGGAAAAGAAGAGAGGCACTTCATCCACGTTGCTTGAAGTCCAGTGTAAAGTTTCCACAGTCAGTGATGGTTTGGGGTGCCATGTCATCTGCTGGTGTTGGTCCATTGTGTTTTCTGAGGTCCAGGGTCAACGCAGCCACATACCAGGAAGTTTTAGAGCACTTCATGCTTCCTGCAGCTGACCAACTTTTTGGAGATGCAGATTTCATTTTCCAACAGGACTTGGCACCTGCACACAGTGCCAAAGCTACCAGTACCTGGTTGAAGGACCATGGTATCCCTGTTCTTAATTGGCCAGCAAACTCTCCTGACCTTAACCCCATAGAAAATCTATGGGGTATTGTGAAGAAGAAGATGCAATACACCAGACCCAACAATTCAGAAGAGCTAAAAGCCACTATTAGAGCAACCTGGGCTATCATAACACCTGAGCAGTGCCACAGACTGATCGACTCCATGCCACGCCGCATTGCTGCAGTAATACAGGCCAAAGGAGGCCCAACTAAATACTGAGTGCTGTACATGCTCATACTTTTCATGTTCATACTTTTCAGTTGGCCAACATTTCTATAAATCCTTTGGTTTTATTGGTCTTCAGTAATATTCTAATTTTCTGATATGATTAATTTGAGATTTTCATTTGTTGTCATTTGTAATCATCAAAATTAAACAAAATAAACATCTGAAATATATGAGTTTGTATGTAATGTATGAATATAATATACAAGTTTCACTTTTTAAATGGAATTACTGAAATCAATCTACTTTTTCATGATATTCTAATTTTATGACCAGCACCTGTATATGTCAATAACAATGTGTTTAAGCTAAATAAACATCATAACGACTAAGTCCTGCCTACGGAAGCCGAGAGCGGTCTTGTCACTCGGATACTTTTTCACGGTGGTTTTTTCGGAGAAAACGAGCTGATTTTCTTATTATCTAAAGATAATAAAGCTCTTTTCTCGTGATAACGAGATGATTGGTTTGTGTTAAAACTGCTTACATCCTGCAATAACACGACAAAGAGAAAGTAATAATTAGTATAAGTCATGGCAGCCTATGTGTAATTCCGTAAATAATCCTGTCTTTAACTTTTAGGTAACAAGACAAGGTTGTTGGTTTTATGAGTCATAAGCAATTAGACCTATGCCTTCAGCGCCTTTGCGTCGGGTGTTTTCTGAACAACCGACACTCCTTACAGATGAAAGGAGTGAAAAGGTTTTAGATGGACAGTTGTAGCGTACTTAAATGGCGTTCTCTCCAACCCATCCTCTGAGTCTGCTGCTCATTATTCTGACTGTCAGGCACTGCTCCTTAGAACTTTCATCTTTTCCATTTATCTCCATCAGTGGTTTAAGTGTAGACCAAATGATAAAACTAGACAATTTCTCCTGGGTGCTAAACTCTTTTTCTGTCAGTGAGTCTATAATCCAGTTTATCTGCTGGTTCTTAGCTCCTGAATGGGGCTTTATTTAGCCATACAATAAATGTTTAAAGCTTCGGCTTCACTGCTAACTGTAGTAAAGAAAAGCAATTAGTTGATTTTAGCTTTAGTTGCTCTTGTTGTGTGCTTTAATATTGCTGTAGATGAAGGCCTGTTCTGGTGCAATATTCTCTGAAGACTGATTTACTGCAAAGTAATATCTGCATAGTATTTACTGTTTGACTCTGCAGTTAATGCAGCACTCATGTGACGGACCAATCTGAGAGCTGGAGCTGATAATAAAGGGAAGGAGATACAGGAAATTAAACGTCTGATCCCATTGGCTTAGCTAAACCTAACAGCCAATCAGAACAGACTGGGCTTCCTGTAGTTTCTGTTTTTTTACAGATACTCTTAAAAACTAAAGAGTTTTAGAAAGAATGAGAATGTAAAGCAGAATCTATAGTTTCTTTATCAAATATTTAAAAAATATAAGGACGATAAATTATTGAATAATAACCGCTTAAGTTTATTTTTTCAGCTGATTTATAATAAAATGACAAACTTTTATCCTTAAATAGTCTCCAAGTTTATTCTAAGGGAACAGCAGAATGATTATATTATATCTTTTACCCAGTAATGTCAAAAAACAAACCAAAAAATGTAACTTAAAGAACAATTGTAAACATTTATACTTTAATCAACTGATAATGATGTAATTCTTTAAAATGTTACTCAAATAAGATAAAGCCCAGTTTTGTCAATTTAAACCAAAATAAGAAAGCTAATCAAATATATAATGTTTGTGCCTCTTTGGCCAGATGCTGGCAGCGTTATTAACATAAAAAATACTGTAAGGGAAAAGTGATATAGGCAAAATATGTTCAGAGATTAGAAAAAAAACCCTCCTAGGACAGATTTTTTACACCCATTATGTTTCTTTGAAGCAGTGATGATAATCCCGCCGCTGTCTACCAAAAATGTGATTGAATTTAACAATGGTGCGGACTGTCATCGTGCTTTTAATGTGATACATTATTTTACTGCATCAACGTAAAATGTTTATTTTTCTACAGTTTGCTTATTTTTACTATTATTACTATTTTTTGCTTTTCAATGATTATTAAGGTTATTTAGAACTGAATGCAGTTAGAAGAGCCCTACAGATTATGACCAGGAGCAGGAATTTAAATCAAGAAGACAATCCACCAAAGTATCCCAGAATATAAGCATATAAGCCCGTTCTGTCAATGTGAGGAGGGAAATAAAAAACTCATGAAAACTAAAAGAATTGAAAAAAAAAATTTTTTTTCAATGTTTTTTTAGACATAATTCAATCTGTCAAAAACACTGAAAGAATTGTATTGAATTGTGCGTTTTAGAGCAGAATGTGATATAAAACTAAAGTAGTTGTTTTCTGTACGAGTTTCTGTGTCCAGTTTAGATCTTAGATTTGTAATGTAATGCCAGTAATGAAGAACATGAGCTACTTGCGTCTGATGGGCTTTCTGTGTGGACGGGACCACCGTGTACAGTACATGTACATATAAGTGCTATTAAACTTGTGTGTGGAGTTGAACTTCAATCCATAGACCACAAACACAAGGATCTTGCTGCTAAAACTGGGATTATTGGGACCGAAATTGGACGGACTTCAAAGGCGAAAATGTTTTAAAGACTTTTTCTATGTACAGATATATTTTTATTTACTTCTTCCATTGTTGTACTTTCATGGGAGTTAAGACTTTGGACGTATTCATTATACAAAATCCAACCTGCCTCCTGGGACCGCCATCACTCACTTTTGTCACTTGGAGCTCATTTGCGAATTGGATGGGAAGTCGGATTGTGGCGTAATCGGTGACTGAAGTGAAAGTGAGTTCCTCTCAGCGCCCCCTGCAGGAGCCGGTACAACAACACACACTGCCTCTGACGTAGTATTGTCTGTTTAGATGTGGTACATGTTATGTACTTTGTTAAGGTTGTTGACCAAGATTTAAAGGGACCCTAAATGGCTTTCGATGGAAGGTAGTATCGGTGATGTGATCAATTGGATACAGCCTCTGAAGGAATGAAAAACTTAAAAAAAATATATTACTACCTGTTAAATTCATGCGAGAAATTGGGCAGAGTTTTCAGTTTATCCATTTTCCTCTTTTATTTGATACATATTTAACATTAGAAAGGAAAAAAGGAAGTCTTTGATCCAAACCTGAGCTTACAGGCAGGTTTGAACATGTTTTAAAATCCATTTTACTGACCAGACTCAGTCCACAGCTTAGTGCTGAAAGAAATGAAAATCAAACAAATATCAGTTTTTACATTATGGTTAAAAATTAACAAACATTCTACTAGTAAAATTAGTCTTCGACCTGCTGGTTTTTCTCTTTATATG